TCATATAAAAGTTAAAAGTTAAATTATTTTTTGAAAAAGTAGAGGCATATTGAATGAAATCGAAATAAAGATCTACTTGGAACTGCACTGAATAAACATGCAATTTATTTAAATTACAAAAGATTTACATCGTTTAGAATACAATAGCGTTAAAGATCACATTTAACATTTTGTTCGTTATAAAAAATGTAACTGTTCTCTATCAGGGGAGGCAAAAACAATTCTTTTCATGGTAAATTTCCTTTTTATTTTAATAGAGCGGCTATTTTGGCAGCTACCTTTGTTTTTATTTGAAATCAAATTTCAATATGGTTTTTAGTTCTTCATCAGAGGAAAGCAAAAATTTGATATATTCGAACTTATAGACGGCCATTTTGGCATCCACCTCGGTTTTTATTTCAAATCCGATTTCAACACTATTTTAAGTGCTTTGTGAATAACTTTCCATTTCTTTTCTTCTGTCAATAAGAGTTCAGAACCATAAAATTCAATCAAAGCCAACTTGCAACAACACAAATCTGAGCAAAGAAGAATTATCTCCTTTCTTTTAGTCATGTTTTTGTCTGCTGCAGAAATCTCGAATGACATTAATGTCAACGAAATCCTCAAAATCGACGAGAAGACTTGACTTTGGATTTTTCATTCTCCTTTTCGTTGAACAGGAGTTAGTCGTAAAGGGGGCCATGCCCCCCCCCTGTTGATTAGCAAACAAAACAAAACAAAAAATTTTCCTTGCCTCTCACGCGTCTTCACAGGACTGGCCACAATTCCTGTTACTTCTGCATCTGCTGAACGAACATTCTCTAAAATGAGCATTGTCAAGTCTAAACTTCGTTCTACAATGACCCAGTACGATTCTCTGCTCCCAGTGATTAAATAAATGCCAACGTTAAAACAACGTTGAAATGTCAACGTTGAAACAACGTTGACATTTCGACGTTGAATCAGACATTTCAGACATTTTCAACGTCGTTTCAACGTCTTTTGCCCGCGAGGAAGGGAGAGAATTCCAATACGGAATGATATGACATGCGAAGACAGCCTTTCAAATGCAGTTTCAAAAGACAGTTTCAAATGCAACATTTGAAGATGACACGTGTCGAAAGCAATGATCACGTTCAGATGATCGAGTGCAACGAACAGTCTTCATCAAGCAAGGGGGAATGCCAATCTTCACCTGACCATGATAAATTTTATGAAAGGAAACGAGGGAACGAGGCGTTTTCTTACAGATATAAATCTTCCCTTGTCGTGGGGGTTTTCTGCCTATCTGCAAGATTCGCGCCTGCTCTTCTCGGATTGCTTTTCGGATTTTTGCCGCGTGCCAACTGCTCAATATATAAATATAAATAAATAAATAAATAAATAAATATATGTATATATAATATAAAATTAGTGGTTCTTAATTCCTGATACATTGCATTAGCGCCGCGAACGTTTGCGTTCTTCTGAGGCCGTTAGATGGCGCACATGTCTGTGTGAAAATAAACTCGGTTGCGTCGATCAGCGTGTTCATGCGTCTTTTGACTTGGTGTCCTTCTAATAAAAGTAATATGTAAACTTTTCAAGTTCGAGCAACGATGTCAGTGGATTAGTACGTGCTATGTAATTTCTGTATGTTAGCTGAAAGCCGTATTGGTAAGTGGCAGGCACTTAAAACACTGCAATGAATGCAGTAAAATAATCAATGCTAACTTGTAGACAGAATTTCCCCGCACATTCCAAGAGAATCAGTGCCTTGTGAAATACAAGAGAGGTACCCCAAGATACAAGATACAGATACAATGTAAATGGGAACAACTGCTTGATTATACTTAGTTTTGTTTTTCTACTTAAGTTACAGTTAGTGTTACAGTTATACTTATATTACTATAGGGGTTAGCGCCAAGAAACGGTATTGCTAGGGTTAGAATACTGACGTATATTGACGTCAGTCATACAGCCGGTTCGGGTTAATACTACTAGTACTAGTAGAGTACTACTAGTACTAGTAGTAGTACTTATGCTCATAGGGTCTATGTCCCCCATGGTACTGCCGGAACGTACCCTGGGTACGGTCCGGTATACCGGAACGTACCCTGGTAACTATTTGATATGGTTAGGGTTAGGGAGTTGGCGTAGGCGTCTAGGCGACTCCCTAGATACAATAATGTAACTTAAACACAGGATAGGTTTGGGTTACATTATTGTATCTAGCGATTCCCTAGACTCATTAGTGGAGTAGGCGAGGTACGGTCCGGCATATTAGATAGTACCAGGGTACGTTCCGGTATACCGGACTGTACCCACTACCCAGGGTACGTTCTGGCAGTACCCTGGGGGACATAGACCCTCTCAGCTATACTTATAGTTACAGGTGTTGAACAACAGTAGAGGGCACCCATAGGCGGCAGGCCTGAATAAGCATCGAACAGAAATTAATTATATATACTCACACTGTTACTGCGCTTACAAAACATACACTTTATTCATGTTAAATAACTACAGATTCATGCTCTATGCTCTGCCTGAAACTTTTGCCAGCTCTATGATGCGAATTTCTGCAAAGTTGTTTGAACACATTTCAAACACAAAAATCACCAGCCGGTCGCTGTGGCTATGACACCTGACGGAATGTCACGAATACACAACAAGACCAATTTTACTTCTAATGCTTTCTAGACGTCTACGAGGCATCTAATTTGAATGCATAATGAAAATTATTGCACTCTTGTACCGAATTTCGGCAAGAAAAAAGCCAAAAATGCTTTTTCTAAAGACGAAATAGTGCAACGGTGAACAATTTGCGGAGGCTTACTGTTGTTCGCCTCCTATAGTTATGCTCATAGGGTCTATGTCCCCCAGGTTACTGCCGGAACGTACCCTGGTAACTATCTGATATGGTTAGGGTTAGGGAGTAGGCGTAGGCGACTACCTAGACTCGTTAGTGGAGTAGGTGAGGTACGGTCCAGCATATTAGATAGTACCAGCAGAGCATATAAATCACGTTGATTTATATGCTCTGGTACCAGGGTACGCTCCGGCAGTATCCTGGGGGACATAGACCCTCTCAGCTATAGTTATACTTATAGTATTAGTACATGACTCATGAGTAATGACGCGGGGGGGGGGCGGCACTCACCTGTACACAGGCACTTGGAACGTCTCAATAAAAATAAAAAAAGGTAAATAAACATGAAATCAAGAGCTAATAATACCTAGAGTGTACAACGGAAAAACGGGAAAATAGTGCTATTTCACGACAACATTATTCTACTTTGCCTGCGAGTCTATAATAATTTCATGGTATTGCATTAAGCAGAATTCTTTGCTCTCTAAAACAAGACCAACCGCTTGTCAATACGATACTCCTAGGCACGGAGATATCGCTCCTAAACCTCGCCCTCCACATGCCAAACGCGCGGGCGCTGCCCGATATCCATTTCTGCCCCATCGCTTCCGCGTCTAACGTTTGGCTGTCGTGAGCAGTCGGTTTTTCGCCGCATAAATTTTAAATGAATGGATTGTTTGCGGGTGGCAAGTTGCAGGGGTGGAGTGACTTTCGGGGGCATCGCCTATGCCCTTCTCCCATTATCTTTCCTAGCACGGCTAATGCCGTCTGATGGAGCCGGCAAATGTTTTTTTAATATAATGTCTCTACAACGCAGCTAGTAAGAGTACCAATTTGGGCATGTGACATCAATTATCAGCGCTCTCAAGCGGTGACGGAAACCGATAGCCGAAATGCTTAGACGCGTGAAGGATGGGAACAGAAGTGGTTCGAGGCGGCGTTTGGCATGTGGGAGGGGAGGTTTAGGAGGCCGATATCTCCGCCTTAGGAGTATCGTATTGACAAGCGGTTGGTCTTGTTTTAGAGAGCAAAGAATCTGCTTAATGCAATACCATGAAATTATTATAGACTCGCAGGCAAAGTAGAATAATGTTGTTCTGAAATAGCATATTTTCGCTCGTTTTCCGTTTGTACACTCTAGGTATTATTAGCTCTTGAGAATGTATATACTACCAAAGTCTTATGTTTCTCTACTCTATTTCGCCTATAATCACCTGTAAATGCTGGTCAAATGCTCATCTGCAACACACAAGTACACCGCACCCGCCCTTAGCTCTAGTACTATAGCCCGCCCTGTGCACAAACAACATGAATAAGAGAGAAGTACTCGTGTACAGGCACATGGAGGAATAGGAGGTGTGTGTGCAGGCGTGCGGTGTACTTGTGTGTTGCAGATGAGCATTTTGACGCGGCATTTACAGGTGATTAATAGGCGAAATAGAGTAGAGAAACATTAAGACTTTGGTAGTAAATACATTTCGTGTTTATTTACCATTATTTTTAGCTCATCTGACATAGTCAGATGCAGCTTGTAGAATCGCATGATCGTCCGTGCGTCCGGCCATCCGTGCGTCAACAGTTGGGCACAAATCTAAACGACTCGACGTACGGTCACGGATATTCGGAACGGGGGGGGGGGGGTGTAATCCGAAAGACGAGTTGGGATGTCGAAGCTGGGGGTCAAAAGGTGAAAGGTCAAGAGGTGTAAAAGAAGGGGGAACATTCCCTCCTTAACTTAAGGTATAGGGAGAAAATGCAGAATTGGCGGCACAAATCTAACGGCTCGACCTAGGCTCGTGATAGTCGGTGTATAGCATCATGGTAGGAAAAGCCATCACTGTGCCGAAATTGGACGGTGCAAAGGTCAATGGGGCACAGGAGATTTTAGACATTTTCTGAGACATGGTCTGACGGAGCAATTGAAAAACTCATTTTGTTTCAGCGGTGACCTACCATTTTTATGGCTTTATTGAAAGGACATGAAATGTACTTTCCGCTGACATGCGTCTGATAGAGAGTGAGTGTCTGATAACCTTTTGACCCTCAGAGGAGGTTAAACATGGATTTGTTTACTTTAGAAAGAATTTGACTGCCTGGTTTGCTAGTAGAATCTATACATCCATGTATGAGGCTACAATGTCACAGTGAAATTCAAAGCTAAATTTGGTTGAAGAAGGTTTAATGCTCCTTAAATCGTATAATTCTATGGCATTCTGTACTGTCAGTGTGTTACATGCAACTATACGCACTGCAGTGCAGTGCGTGGTGATAGTACTGTGTTAGTTTTTGGCCTGCGTTAATTAGTTACAGGTGGCAGCTTCTCTATTTCAGCCTTGTAGGCTTGCGTAGGTAAATGGATGAGTGCTTACTATTCTGTCTTGCAAATAGTTTGTTGCTACTACGTATGATCGGAGCTTCCATCTTTAATCTTAAGAAACTTAAACGTACGCGCCATCTCGTGGCAACTTCATAACATCACCAACGAACATTCCTTTGAGAAGGTTCCTGATACCATCCCTGTGCCTTCCACTTGTATCGGCTATGTGAACACATTTGGGGACTAACAGGGTTTACTAGAATCCCACCACTCTACCACACGAGTGCACCGCAGTAGACGTGAGATGAGCGCTGTCGCTCCGCGGCACTTGTTTTTTATTGAGACGTTCCAAGTGCCTGTGCACCTGTAGGTATGTGCCACTGCGAAGTCAAAAATGAGGGGCTCTGGAACTAACTCAGACTTGAAAATGGGGGTTTCTGGAACTAATGTTTGTTGAATGTGTGATGCTCTGGAACTGTCTATGTTCAATCCATCCATCCATGTGCGCATGCGTTGCATGCATGCATTCACGGCCCGGCTTCAACGTATTCTGAAGTACGATGCAGTGGAACGGAAATGTTAAAAACTAGGGTCTCCGGAACGGTAAAAATGTAAGATCTGCATGGTAACTAAACTGTAACATGTGTTTTGCACGTGTTACATGAATTAGTCAGCGAGGCTAGACTATAGGGTTGTTTGGTGACTAGTTAGTCTGTGTAGACGCAGCGATATGTGCTCTGCTTGTCGCTTACTCTGATCGCCAGTTACTCAGAGCGACTTGTGATGCTCTGGAACGAGATATTCTTAAAGATGCACTGGAATGGAAGTTTAGGGTTGAAAATGGGGGTCTCTCCCGCGGCACGCACAGGGCCGTAGCCAGAGGTAAATTTTGTAGGAGGCAAATGTTGTGAGTTAAAGAACAAGGAGCGAAGCGAGCCAATAGGGCGTGGGGTATGGGGCCCGCTTAAGGGCCCCAGAAGCCAACGGTTATATGGTGCTCTGTGGTGCATTCTCTGCATATATTACATCTAAATTTCCATTTCAGCTGGGGGACTACAGGTTCAATAATGTTGTTAATAAAATATTTATCAAACGGCAACAAAAACGGCACGTGCATACCGGTATTCAACGTCACAGCCTGCTCCTGCTGCAGTCAGTGCCATACACTAGTGACTAGTCTACAAACGCTCCAGAGACGGTGACCTTGTTTAACTATAAATAGTATTAATTACGTTCACGTTATATGCTCCCCGTGATTGATTAGGGCTAGAACAGTGACAGTCTACATGTATATGGTAACCCAGACACGCAATCTTATCAGAATTGATATCACTCACAGTGTATCTGTTTGTCATTGTCATCAAATTAATTCTCGCGATATATTTGTTTTGATATTTTTGTTTCTTAGTTCATGTAATAGGGATTTAATTTTGGTTTCTCGTAATTTTTTTTTTTAGAAATTTTGTAGGAGGCATTTACCTCTTATTGCCTAATGGTAGCTACGGCCCTGGGCACATACCTACCTAGCTCTAGTACTATAGCCCGCGTACAGTTGCCGCAGGCGCCTGCGGCAACTGTACACGGCGGGCGCTATAAGTAGCTGAAGAGCTAATACTTACCATGCAATATATATATGGAGTGCCCTCCCCCCCCCCCCCCCCCCCCGGGTAATGATGCCGCATTGCCTCCAGGGTTCAAGCTGTTGAAATATTACACTCTTCTTGTATCTTCTTGTTAGTCTAGAAACACAGATTCATAATAACTGTACATGTTTGTTTATAAGATGAAGCAATTTCTAGTAGCAATTGGACGGTGGTGCCGCCCTGCATCAGAGCGGTACATTATCTAACTAGCGTAATAGGAAATGACGTAACGTTAAAAGTTCTAGAATGTTCTGTGAGCATAATTATATAAGCAGCATGCTCTCGCTGCACTTTCTTTTTTCGAGACTTGTGCATTAGACTACGTGCGCGTTACTTGTACAGTGTGTATCACCAAATAAATCTCAGTCATAAGAAGAATCCTATATCTTGGAAGTTGGACTCAGTAATTCAAGAGTTTCAACACAAGCGTCCCTGTTTCCAGTTGCACGCTGCATGATGAGCCCCGCCAAACCAATCTAGCATCATTTGCACAGGAATTACATCACACATATGACTACGTTCATTGGTAAACATCAGAGAGACGGGATACCAGAGAAGTGTTTGCCGAATAGAGGTGTTGTCCTAAGCGCTGAGCGCAGATCTTGCGCGCAGTTCCGCGGCCAAGGCGCACGCGACCGTGGAACGTCCTACGACAGTATGCAGGCGCTGGCAGCTATGGATCATGCGCCGAATGCATAGGTCGCGCACGATCCATAGCTGCCAGCGAACAGTCCGCGCAATTTAGCGGGCGACACAGAGGGCAGACATTTGGGACGTGGAGGAACTCGCGACTTACATGGGGGGTCGTACAGATAGGGGCGACACGGCGAAGTTTTGATTTGCGTGGTTCCATTTCCATGTGGTCTTAGGCGTTTTACTATAAGTTCGCAAACATAAAAAGTTACAAACATAAGAAAATGGACATTATTTAATAGAAAATTGATCAAATAGTGATGCGAAATAGTACGCGGATTGTGCGCCCAGTATTTTCCATGTGTTAATCGCTGCTGCATTTCCCGGAGCTCCGCCCACTTTAAATGTCTAGCATTGTGCAGTGGTATCCTGAGTGTACGAAGAGTTAGTATTTTATTTTCATTTTTGATGAAGCCGAAAGTGCGGCTTGCCAGCAACAGAGCTCGCTCGCTGGTAGGCATGCGCGACGAACACGTGTCAGTTGATTGCAGTCGCTGGGTGTATTGACGGAAAACGTTTAAACTCCGTTTCTAGAGGCAAACAAGCGCGCTGAGTGCGAAAAATTTTGTACAAGCATTTCTAGGAAATGTCTAGCTACTGGGTACGTAGTCAAACCCGTCGTGCAATGGCCAGAACTGCTCAACTCAGCGATTATAGGGCTTTGGCATTTATAGTGACCGTTGATTGCATAAGAATTGGGTGCAGCGTAGTTGTGTTAGTGTGCCGCTACGCGGCGTTTTTCGCCCTTCGCGCGGATATCCGGGCTGCCAATTGTCAAGTACGAGTTTCATATAATGAACAGGCAGTTGATGCCCATTTACATTGCCATTGAGTGGGAGTTTTCCTCAGGATTTAACATAGATCTCTGGTAAATTAAGTTGTACCAAATGGCAAGTGTGGTAATTTAAACAGCGTGAACAGCGGCTACGCATACATACCAAAATGGAGGTGGTTGGTCGTGTATTTTGTACTGGACGGTCTAAAACGAGGCAAAACATGCGATTTTGGCGCTTACTCTTTCCACCTTGCCGCGAATCTGGTGTGCATGCGGTGAAATTGTGTCTGGTAGAGAAGCGGCATTTGAGTGGCGGAAGTTATTCTAATAATAGCGCGAATGATAGTAGAGAAACATTTAGACTGGTAGTAAATACATTATAAATCTAAGTCTTAATGGTTTATCTAGAGCTCTTTAACGAGTTCATGGATCATGTCCATGCACTGCCTGTACTTGTGCAATGTACCATTAGCTGTGGTAATTGGTTGTCAAAAATTTAAGTAGCCAGCCTGAGCTATTTATTATATTCAGAATGCAATTGTGACTAATGCATAACTTTGTGTGTTTTACGAAGACGTGCGTGCAAATTAAAGATTATAATCTCTAAATTATCTGTTTTTTTGTATAAACAGGTTTATAAGCATGTGAGCTTCTGAGCATGAAATAGTCATAGAGGCGAGATCACATAGCGGCAGTACCGAGTCTATCGACATAGAGTTCCATCACCGCTATCAAAGGTAAAATTTAATTTACACATGGTTCGCACAGTCCTTGAAAAGTCCTTGAATTTGAGGAGTCCTTGAAAATACTTGAATTTAGTAAAATGTTGATTTTGTGGCTTGAAAAGTCTTGAATTTTATGAATTAAATGAGCTTAAAACAAGCTATAGACACGATAGACCAGTTAAATGATGATCACAAATTACAGTAAGTCAGTAAATCAAAGAAGTGACAGTGTTTAGAAGGGTTTTAATGTGATCCAGGTAAGTTTTAGAGGTGACATGCCAGTGATTAAGAATAGGGTTATTAAATTAATCCAGGTATCTTTGTTTTCTGTGTATGAATTCCGATAAAATGTCTGATAAAATGTCCTTGAATTTCCGATAAAATGTCCTTGAAAAATCCTTCAGCTCCTTCCTGTATGAACCATGTTACAACTAGAATATATATTTGCTTCGGTAGTTTTATACTAATCTATTTCAAGTCATAATATAATATGTTACTTGTATAATGTGTTATCAAAATTATGTAATGAGGTCTGTTACACATGTGGCGTGGGAGAGGAAATTTTGAAGAGGAAACTTCAATGCGTGAAACCAAAATTTAAATTTTTTTTTTTGCAGTACAGGGATTGGAAGACACTTGCAGGCAGCAACACTCCAGTGAGAAAATGGTACAGGATTTGGATGATGTTTCTGGCCGCGGATCGGCAGCTGGGGGACGCTACCAAAGTTGTTATTCTGCTAGTGTGTATCCCTGCATGCATTCCGTGTGCATTCCAGGGATATGTCACATTTTCCTCCTTGCCGCTGCCGGACCACTGTTGCCACGTGGAAGAACTGAAGGAGTATGCTGATGATGACAAAAAGTCCTTGAGCATACCCATTGAGTACAAGCAAGGTGGAAAGTTATGCTCAGTGTGTTATGTACGATGCAAACTAAGCGAACTTGTAGCACAAATGGCAGTTGGCAACCTGATATGTCGTGGCCAATTAATTGATTGCGACGATGCATGGGACTTTGACCAGACTCTGTACGACTCCACGACTAGTACCGCTTGGGATATCGGTTTGTGATCGGGTTGGATAACGCCCCTGGTTTCTCCATCATCTCTCTCGGCGAACTTGTGTGGAAATTACATCTTTGGATTCCTACAGGACAGACTGACGAAAACTTTCATTCTTCATATGCCTCACACTGCAGCTTGTTGCTGCTGTTGCCTTCGGCTTTCGCACGCGGAACCAATCAGCTTTACTTTCTTCCGCTTCCTGGTCGGCCTCACGATCCTGCAATTATCACTATTCCATTCGTGATAGGTATCGAGTTGGTTGGGCAGAGAGCGAAGCTTCACCACACTGATGCAGTGCATGGGTATTCAGTCGCTGTGTCTACTGCCCCGAGTGTGCATACCTCTAGTGCGTGAATGGAGACATCTCGCTCTCCTACTTCCCTGCATTTGCAATTTTTTTATGTGTACTGGTTCTTAATGCCTGAGTCGGCCCGGTGGTTGATGGCAAATAATAAAGTAGCTGAGGCCGAGAGATTAGTGCAAAAAATTGCCAAAGTAATGGTATGAAAGAGAAAAAAAGAAAGGAAAGAAAAAGAGGGGGAAAAGGAGGAGAAAGGGAGGAAAAAGAGGAAAGAAAAAGAAAAAAAAAAAAAAAAGAAAAGAAAAGAAAGAAAAAGGAGAGAGAGAGAACATAAAGAGAAAAAGAAAAGAAAAAAAAGAAGAAGAAAGAAAAAAAAAAAAAGGGAAAAAGCATACTTTCCAGAGAACTTCCCACGCCTAAAGAAGACAGCAGCAGGCATAGATGATGGAAATGAGGAACGCGCCA